TTCATCGTGTCTTGCTTTAACTATTGCAGAATTGACTTTTGTGAATCTTTTTATTTAACCTTCAAACTGATTCAACAGAAAACATTAATTGAGATATTAAAGTTTACATTCTCAACTCAAACTAAAGTTAAAAGTCAACAGCCCAACAAACTCAACAGAACTGATTTAATATAATTGCATCAAAATTTTCCCAAGCATCGACATACTTACTTAATATCATCAACAATTTACATAAATTACTATTAATAAATCTAATTTTCGTTAATTCAATAGAAACGTGCATTATCGACATCAAAAGTCATCAGCATATACGAAAATGCTGAAAAAGTATGCGTGCCAAATTAGTAATTGGATGCTTGAGTTCCAAAAATAAACCAATTAATTAAGCGTCAAAGTAGCGCCTATACTGTATGAATACTAAAGAGAAAATATTCAAAGTCATAATGATAACCATGAATTGAATAGAAAGAAACAAGCACACAATTGAAGACATTTTTGACATTTATTATTGCCCTCATTACTTTTTCATCATTTTTCATCTTAACGCTTTCGTAAACATCTTCCATTTCCATCTGATGTATTCGTCTCTGTCTCCTTCATCATATTTCTTTTTCAATATCATCTTTCGGTTCTCATTCACCCTAGAATCGTTCTCCGAAATGAAAGAGGAAGGAAGTAGAAAAAAAAGTGCTTTACTAATAAATAATAAATTTTCTTTCGAGCATCAACAACAGAAGAAGTAAAGAAATGTACTCTTGAGAATGAAGAATTTTTCTTTAAATTTGCCCATTTATTATTCGACTTTGGGAGCTGTTTGAATGTTATGGAACAACAAAAGTTATAATTTGTCTCTTTCTATATTAAGCTGATTTCTAATGCATCTTCAAAAATTTCAAAAAAATCTCCAATAACTTTTTCTCATCTTAGAATCTTCATCAAAGTGAGCACAAGCCTAAGAAACCAACCATAGCTCTGGACTACGCTTCTAAACCTCAATCTTTATTTACCTGCTTTTAAGCTTCGATTGCTCTCTCATTTGTACTTCCTAGTTGTCATCGATCGTCTATTTTGTAAGAAATTAGTAGCAAATTGAAAACAAAAATTCCCAATTGAAGCACCTCAATTCGCTTTCAGATGGTCTTCATCATAAATTGTAAATGAAATTAATATCTTTGCCTTCTTGTGGGAATGGCTCTATTATATGATATGATACACGATGTATATTTAATCTCTTTTGAGATATGTTGGGAAAAGTGATGGAAAATATTATAGCACATAAATAGACATTTCCTTGAAATATTAGAAAGAAGGTATTCAATTTCATTCGATTTATGCTCAAAAGGAGCTTAGCATATTTATTCTATTCTTCATTTTCTTTGGAAGCTTTTATGGGATGTTTCTTGGAAATCTGGGGTTTCATATTTGAATATTAAGGAAATACTTATTGGTAAGTTCCATAAAATTTTGATGTTTAAATTTCATTAGATGCTAGTCTATTTAAAGTTCCTTACTAGCACTCAACTTAGTTTGCATAACTGAATTTTTAAGGAATCATTTATTAATGAAGTCAAACTTTAAAGACGGCGCAGAGAATCACAAGATGTATAAGGAAGTTTCATTTTTCAGTCGACATCATTTGTGTTCGACCCTTCAAAAAGCACCCAAAACACGGTACCAAAAAAATACAAATTGCAATGACTCATTACTCATGCTTTAGTTTCAGTAGCATTACAGCCATAAAACCTGTAATAACTTCATAGAACAACAACAATCAAAAAAAGTTTGTTTTATGTATTTTGAATAATCGAACCCAATAAAATTTATTGACTACCTCAATCATGATACTGAATAATGTTGAAGAAATGCTTAATGCTCATATTTCAACTTTGATTTATAATCTTAACGATATCTCAAATGTATTGCATGTTTATCATTAATTCTAGCTACTTTATAGTAGACAAATAACACGTAAAGCATAAAGCACACCAATAAAATATAAACTTTTTATTGTTATTCAATAAGTCGAAGATAATCGAGCATTGTTAACCACTGAGTTCCAATTTTTGATCCAAAATATATTTTTATTTTTATTTCAAAAATATTAAAATTCAATTTTTTACAATTCATATGTTGCGCACATCTCATAGCAGCAAGAATGCATCCATAAAGTAACATAAAAATGCCAGAAAGTGTTATGAGGTAGAAATGTTTCCCGAGAGCTCAATTTAGAGCGAATAATAATGTTCAATCGTATCGATTTACAATTCCACACATATGCTTGCACCGTCATAAAAAAGTATAAAGCGTTGAAATATAATTTATGTGAAGTCCATTCGTGTAAACATCGCACACACAATTTTATTGATATTATTACTACAAATGCTATGAAAACAATTCGATCTGGAAGTGAATTGTTTTTGTAAATTCATCAGCACACCGTAAAGTAGACGTTATACAGAATTATACGCATTCCTTTGTGCATAGACGAGAAATGTTTTTTGTTTATTTTACAAATGCCAAACAAAAGAGAAGAAAAGAATTCCAAAATTAAACTTTCCGGTTGCACTGCACTTGTCGAGATTTCTTCGAAGAGAGGCAGAGTTTCTTTATCTGTTTTATGATCTGTTTGGTGACATTTTCGAAAGTCATTTGCTTTTTGTGTTGATTTTCAATTTGTGAAGGTTTTGGAATGAAAATTGTTTGGGTCTCAATTTTGAAGAGTTATTGAGTTTTTGATGAAATGTTTTGGAAGGTTTAGTTAAAGATTTACACTTCGATTTTGCTTGATAAGTACGATAAAGAGCTCGAAGTTGAATTCAACTTAACTCGACTCAAAACTAAGTCAACTTCTTCGAGTTTTGATTTGATAGATCAAATTCATGATTCACTAAAGTACCCAACTCATATTCTCACATTTTCAAACTTCTACTTTATCATAACAAAAAACTATTATCAGCAATTAAAAGTGTAAACAGAACAAATCAAATTCAAATAATTCTGACTCAAAAAAATCCACATTACAGTCTAAACAGACAAAAAGTAAAATCCAATTCTACTATGAACTACCGAAAATTGGATGATGAGATTATAATGAGCTAATTATACAAGCTGAATAGAAGAAAAACACAAGTGTTACCCGAGTAGCACCAACAACAACAACTGGTTTTACGTCGACGTCAAGGCACCATCAAGTAGAAAAAAGCACGTCACGCCGCAAATTTACCGTTGTGGCAACGCTAAGGCTTCTTCACGCACGATTTCGCCCCATTATTTCATTGTTCAAATGGGGCGAAATCGTGCGTGTAGATGCCTTAGCGTTGCCACAACGGTAAATTTGCGGCGTGACGTGCTTTTTTCTACTTGATGGTGCCTTGACGTCGACGTAAAACCAGTTGTTGTTGTTGGTGCTACTCGGGTTATAGATAGAACATGTGGAACCGTCTGTGTGCTAATGAGCTGTGGATTGAATTGTTGTAAATGTGTAAAACTTAAACAAAAAGTCGGCGTCTTGTGGGTGGACATTGGAATTAGAGATTTCTCTTTTTTTTTGTCAAACAAATGTAGGAATTATTGATTTGGTTGAGCCAAAAGTTATCTAAGCACACATGTGGAACTTTTTTTATGTAATTGTGTGCCTGACAAAGCTGCAAAGGTCAAATATCTTTGCAAATTAGATTGAAATTCATAACAATCATTTTTGGAATTACCAAAAACATTCCAATATGCACAAAACCAAATTTAACTCAAACCTTCTCACATATTTACAATAAATTGAACAATCACACATCTATGTATAGATTTATTCAAATATTGGTTGACCACAACGCATGAATAACTTACTACTATGCATTTAAATATGAAAAAGCTACAAGTTAAGAGAGATTCCCGATAAAATCTCATATTTTCTTTCTAGATTCATAATCAATTCAGTAATTTAACTCATTTTATCCCATTCTTATCTTTTGACGCCACATAAATTTCCCAAAAAAAGATCGGATTGAGACACAAATTTATGATAATCAAGTGAATATTGCAGGAGACAAAAAAATAACTTTTTCCACTAAATCATTCATTTTAAAGATCTTTAAATAAAAATATTTTATGTGGACTTAATCTTCTTGACAGTGTTGATATTTGGATGTTTTTGGATTAACTATGTTGATTTTTGTGACGTGTTTATTATGAATTGGTGTGTTTAGGACACTGACCCGTTAAGCTGTATTATGTTTCTCGAGTTTACACAGCAGCAGGGTTACATTAGAGTCAACAAACGTAGTAAAAGAGTATTTTAAGACTTTTTCCAATTTCATCAAAACCTTTAAAGTTGGACTTTAAACTTAACTTTAAAAACTTCGAAACCTCCTCTGTCACTTCATAATTTCCACTTGACTTTCTTCATCGCAATATGCGCATCTTGAAGTATTATCTTTTGTCATCAGCGAAATGTAAAAAATCCCAAACAGAGACAAGGTATTCAAGGCACTTAATAACAGTTAGTCAGCAGATGAGCATCTGATAAAAAGAGAGTCACCGAACGCATGGCGAAAATTTATGTGACAAATGACAATAATAACAACAATACACACATATATGAATAATATGTGAGAATGTCTCCGACTAAAGAAAGACGTCCGAGCAACGACATTGGAAAATATTTAAATAATTTCATGTTAAATATGGCCAAGCCTTTGAATGTTCTTTTTCGGACGAAAGAGTGTAGATAAATAAAAGTAAACAATACTAAATTGTCTACAATGAATGCAGATTAATATTTGGGGGCAATCACATATTACGTCCATGAATAAATTCTCAAAAAATTATTTTACTTGAAGTGTCACAAAATCTCATTTATCTCCCTTAAATTATAGACGTAATTAGTAAATGACTGATATGGCGTCATCTATCCATCATGCATGTACGCGTATATAAGTTTGTAAAAAAATAAATTAAAAATCTGCATATACACGCCACGATTGTTGAAATAATGTTAATTTGCATACCTTTTATCAATCGCATTTATCCATTCCATTGCCATGATGATGTAAAGCAATTACTCTACTGATGATGCAATATTGAGTATGTATATGAAGAGTGTATGTGCTGTTGTTCTCTTTTTAATTCCTCCTTTATTGAATTCTTGTTAGATACTTTATTTCTATAGCTTGAATCATTAGCATAAATGAGCGGAAGCAAAATTTAAATGATGACAGTAGAAGGATGATGAAGAATTATTGCCAGTCGGTATAGATGGATGAAGATGCTTTGATGTTTACTCAGACAACACTTTTGAGTGACAATCTTACTTTTACTATATATGTGAATGTTTATCAACTCTTGAAAAGCTGAATGCACAAATGAATCTTTTTTTTTTCACTTATATGAGATCCACTATTCTCTCTTTTTATTATGCATTAATTATTCAATTGCATCGTATCACTACTATGAAATGTTTTTATGCATTTCCTTCCTCTCATTTTATTATCACTTATTCATCATGCGTATTTTTTTCTGAAGTATTCATCTCAGCTCTCGTTTTTATGCTGAAAGAAATTGTTAACTTTACAGTGCGCACTCAACTTTTTTTTTTATTTTTAATTCATTTCAAATTTAATGTCATTATGGAGCTATAATCATAATTGTGTAGCATGCTTTATTTCCAAATGAATGAATTTTCTAGAGGATTTATAATTTTTTTTAATCATTTGAATTATTTTTGCAAACTTTTAGATTAATTTTGAATGGAAAATTTGTTTAACCAGTTCAGTAAATTTACAGAGTCTCGTTTTTAATTCACAACTTTATTATTGACGTTTGAAATGTTTTCATTTTTTACTATGAATTTTAATTGTGAACAGTAATTAAATGAATAATGTTTGGGTTTGGATCTAAAAATTTCAAAAATGTTTAATGATTGACTTCCTTAAAAATCTTGAATTCTTCTACAAAAATTAATTAAAATTCAAGATTCAAATTTCAAATATTGAAAGATCTAGATCTAAACTTGATATTTCTTGTATTGTCATGCAAACACAGATCCAACTCATTTTCAATTAGGAGAAAAAGTACAGTTTAAAGGTTCTAATCAAAATCATATTCAAGAGCCTTTTCGTCATGATCAAATGAATACCAATAAAATCTCTCAATTTTCAATGGCTTTAGGTTTTTTTAAAGTGAGAAGAAACTTTCAGGAAAGAAGACATTGGATACTTAGTAATTTAGTTTGCATAGAAAAAGTTTTTGATGTAAAGTTTCTAGATCTCAACTCAAACTTTTTCAGTCGTTCAACAAAAAACTATTCTGTCATATTCAAATGATATAGTTTGGTGCAGAAGGAGCTCAAGGAGTTTGTTAAACTATCTTTGGATGTCAACAAAAACCCTTTAAATTACATAAGAGTTTTGAAGTTTCAGTTTAGATGCTTAAATATAAGGAGTGTAATTTTGAAGATCATTGGCCTAGTTTTAAAAATATTTTGAATTTTTTATTTCAAAATATAATTTCGAATGCTCGTAGCTAAAACTAGCTTAAAATGCAAATAAAAAAATTCCAGAAGCACATACAGCACTGTCACTAATGACACATCCTACACTTATTGTTTTTAATTCAATTCATTTAAGAAAATTCTCAGAAAATTTCTAGCTAGCACCAAAAATAATTTTATTATTTCTCCTGACATCCAAAACTTTTTTATTTCTTCTCCGCAATTAAAAACATTTTTCTAAATCAAACATCGTGCACTTTTTGTTGTTGTTCATCTCAAGAATACCCCCAGAAGACAGGTGTCTGTCGTCCACAGATCTTACTGTACAATTTAAAAGAATAAATATTTCATTTGCTTTTTATTTCTCTGATTTACAAAACAAAAAAACATAATCTACGTGATTGTGCAAGAGAAATTTCATTTAAACTGGAACTTCCAATTTATATTCATGAAGGTATAATGAATTAAAAAATAATTTAATTTTAACCATCAACAATCAATCAAATAAGCAGCAGTTTTGCAAGAGTGATTGGTTCTCTCAGCTAGTTAAATTGTTATAAATTCACTCCTACAACGCTGCCTATAGAAGCGTTAAAGGAAAAACTCTTTTTTGGAAGTTTCAAGTTTACAAATTTAAAATGAATTGAAATGGATGGATGAAATATTAAAAAGGTACAATAACAACAATGAAAAAAAAAACTGCGAATGAAGCGAACGAGTTCACCTACTCATTTTTTTATAACTTATTTCATTCAAGCCAATTCAACACTAGAAAGAAAGAGAGACTTTGCATATATGTGAAGTCTATATGTTGAAACTTTGTGTACGAGGTGAAAACAATTTAAGGCAAAAAAACAAATGAGAAATACATCTGAGATTTTTGCTTGCCACTATGATGAGTGGTGCTTAAACTACGGTTTGTGATACTCAAGTGCTCTGCTCAAAAGTGTAGATAAGGTAAGGTTATTGATGATTTTTTTTAATTTAGCTGGGGATGTTTTGAGAAGAAATTTCGATGTTACAAAAAAATTTTTAAATTTGAAAAAAAAAATCTGGATTTATCAAAACTTCCCAAAACACTTCCAATGCTCGTCAAAAAAATTAAGCATAAAATGAAAAAAATTGTAAAAATAATTCAAAATATAAAGCTTCATATTATTGTTGAAAACTTAATTCAAAATTGCTTAAAATAATTTAAAACATCAGGAAACAAAAAAAGGTTGACCACTCCTGCCACTAGCTTGAACACTCATTTGATTGAAGTTGTAGCGCAAAAACAATACTTTATGAGGAATAAGACACCCGTACACTAAAATTTACTTCATCTGTTATCGATTTTTTACTTTCTGCACAAATCTCACACGGTAAAAAGCCAAAACTGCTCCTAAAGTCTTCAGTTGAATGCAAAATAAAAGTTTTCCGTTCCCTTTTTTCAGCCAAGATATGAAGGTGTCCGAAATTGGATTTTTTTTCCTTTCCTTTTTTATCTTCACAAAAAAAAAAGCACACAAATTTTCACGATATCGAGATGGAAATGAGAAGAACTTTTTATTTTATTTTATTTCGAATATTTTATGGGTATATGAATTTATGCACGCATAGGGAATCGTGGGAAAGTATCAACTGTGCAAAAAAAAATATGAACTAAAAAATTTCTTCCATTTATGTTGCTAATAGCAATGGCAAAATATGTATGGATGTAAATTCCCAACAAAAACAGTTAATTAATAATTTACAATGTGAATTTTCATCACGGATTTTTTTTTATTTTTCTATAAGTCAGACAATCTTTAATGTTATGCTTTCACGAACGCGGTTCCGAAAGAACTGAGAATCAGTAATACAGACGATAAAATGTTTACTTCATGTGATTTTTTTTTTCTTCACCCACTCACCGGGTCTCTGTAAGCAAAGCAACAATCTACAACACACAATTTTTTACTCTCAATTTTCTACGTGAGAGAGTTTTGTACATGCTCAATGCACTTTTCGGCTGGGAGAGAATATGAGAGGAAGTCGTGAGAGAGGAAATAATGTGTCTGAATGAGATCATTAATTGGTGCATGGACACTTGTCGCGCTTCGAGCATTATTTCTTCTTTTACTTTATTTTTTTGATTTTTTTGCTGGATTTTTTGTGAAATAAAATTTGTTTCTTTTTAATTTTGCAGGTATGATTAATGCCTTGATTATATAATAATTATAATATAAATCATGGGGAATTTTTTTTTGATGCATGTAGGAATTTGCATGGATTTTTCACGACACGAAAAATAATTTTCTTTGATGAGAGAAATAAAATAAAATTCTTGGGGGATGATCTGGATGTGATGTGTGGAAATGAGCTTTAGACCTATGGGAATTTTAAAATTTATTCTTCCAAAAATCCTATCAGCTGACAAGACATTTCTTGCAAAATAAAACACTAAGGTATAGTAAGAAGACCCTAGTAGTCCCATAAACCCTCATTAACAAACAGTTCCCAACCCAGCGTGTGCCTTTACATATTAATTTAATCAAATCAAAAATTAATGTTAGCTAAACGTCGTAATAATAAGAAGAAAGAAATGAAGAAATTCATTAAATATAAAAAATATGTATGTAGAGCGATAATAAAAAGTAAACATAAATTTGCACACGGATGAAAGCTTTTAACGCATTTTGTGTATTACGTATGTGCAGAACAAAAGAAGTATGAATAAATTAGTCACTTTGCCAATTGTCGAACTCAACGGAAATTCCAAAATGCGATTTTTAAATGGTCAATGTTTTTATTTTTATAAATAGAATTGTTTGTTGCATGTGTCAGTGAGCTGAAGTGGCTCGGTGGCGGAATGTTTTAGTACTTCGGTACCTAATTATTGCAATACCGACACAGCGATCATGGGTTCGAGACTGGGTATGGGAAATTTTTCACTTGTTCTTTTTCGAATCATATGTACTGGAAATGAGGCTCACAGCCTTCCTTTGTAGGCTACAGACAGAAATGTCATCAAAGGAGTGGTTCGGATCCCACTATAAATTGTAGGTCTAGGTTTGAGTGCAGTGGTTTGGCGCATCCTCACTCGTTAAACTCTCATTAGCTGCGAATCGCCCTAGCGCACCTCTGGATCACAATTGATCTGAATAGGTAAAGGTTTTTTTTTTTTTTTTTTTTTTGTTGCATGTGTCAAGTGCTATTGTACTCAATGGAGATATATTAGCTTTTTCTACAATTGTCGCAGTTGTTAAATGTTGTAACAACAATTTACTTTAAATTAAACAGGCTCAAACTTAAATAAATCAAATCGACTAGCAATTCCAATCAAATGTGACTTAAACATTTAACTTTCAAATTCATCAACAATTCATCAAATGAACTTTTGACTTTCTAAGCTCTTCAAATCTCTTTAAGTGAAAAATTTAAAGCCAAACATAATTAAATTTTCTCTTTGATGTGCTAATTCTGTTTAAATCATAAATACATTCCATCCATAAACATAATTTTCATCAACATAAATTTTCTAAAATGCGCTAAAGTAATTTGTCATCCACATCTAGAATGCCTTAAGAACT